CAACGTGACCACTTCAACCACTCACTTCCCAGAGTGCAATCCTCCACTCTTCCTTCTTCGAACTTGTTTGTGGCGGCTCTAGTCCTCGTCCATCATACACGAACCAGTATATGATCTTGATTATCTTGATTATTATCTTGATTATCTTGATCTTGATCTTGATTATTATTATCTTGATTATCTTGATTATCTTGATGATTATCTTGATGATCTTGATCTTGATTATGTCTTCGATCTCATTCATGAACAACGTGACCACTTCAACCACTCACTTCCCAGAGTGCAATCCTCCACTCTTCCTTCTTCGAACTTGTTTGTGGCGGCTCTAGTCCTCGTCCATCATACACGAACCAGTATATGATCTTGATTATCTTCTTGATCTTGATTATCTTGATTATCTTGATTATCTTGATTATCTTGATCTTGATTATCTTCGATCTCATTCATGAACAACGTGACCACTTGAACCACTCACTTCCCAGAGTGCAATCCTCCACTCTTCCTTCTTCGAACTTGTTTGTGGCGGCTCTAGTCCTCGTCCATCATACACGAACCAGTATATGATCTTGATGATTATCTTCTTCGTCGATCTCATTCATGAACAACGTGACCACTTGAACCACTCACTTCCCAGAGTGCAATCCTCCACTCTTTCTGCTTCGAACTGGAATGTGGCGGCACTAGTCCTCCTGCGTCATACAATAACCTCTCTGTTATCGATCTCATTCATGAACAACGTGACCACTTCAACCACTTACTTCTCAGAGTGCAATCCTCCACTCTTTCTTCTTCGAACTGGAATGTGGCGGCACTAGTCCTCCTCCGTCATACAGTAACCTCTCTATTATCGATCTCATTCATGAACAACGTGACCACTTCAACGACACACTTCGTAGAGTGCAATCCTCCACTCTTTCTGCTGCGAATTGGAATGTGGCCGCACTAGTCCTCCTCCGTCATACACGAACCTCTATATGATCGTCGTCGACCTCATTCATGAAGAGGGTGACCTCTTCAACCACTCACTTCTCAGAGTGCAATCCTCCACTCTTTCTTGTTCGAAGTGGAATGTGGCGGCACTAGTCCACCTCCGCCATACACGAAGACAGTCTTCGTCGACCTCATTCATGAACAAGGTGACCTCTTCAACCACTTACTTCTCAGAGTGCAATCCTCCACTCTTTCTTCTTCGAACTGGAATGTGGCGGCACTAGTCCTCCTCCGTCATACAATAACCTCTCTATTATCTTGATGCTGGATGTCATTCATGAACAACGTGACCACTTCAACCGCTCACTTCCCAGAGTGCAATCCTCGAATCTTTCTTCTTCGAACTTGAATGTGCGGCACTAGTGCTCCTCCATCATTCACGAACCTGTGTATGTTCGATCTTATTCGTGAACAACGTGACCAGTTTAATCAGTCATTTCCTTGACTGCAGTCACGCGGTCTGTCGTCGTCGAAGACGAATGTGGCGTGCCTTTTCGGGCTCATGGTAAAGACACTGAGGTTTTTTGATATTCTGGTTGATTGCTGTAATCGGTGGATCTTGGTTGGTTTACCGGTGGCGTACAGCGATATTAGTGGTTTTGGCACGAAAACGTTCACGGTTGAGAATTATTGCGTACTAGAGGAGATTGAGATTTTCGAGTTAGAACAGTAAGAAAACGTGAGTTGTATATCGGTGCTTTTGGTTGACAGGGGTGGAAATGAGACGAGATGAATGAATGTTGAAAGAGAATTTATTTAATTTCTTTGTTTACCAGTTGTCAGCGGTTTCGGCGAAAACAGATGGTGTTTGTTAAGAGAATATGGTGTGAAGGCTCAGCTTTTGAGTGCCGAAAAGTGGAAGTTTCTTTCTCTTTGGTGCTCCAATTACGCAAGAAACGATGCTGTTAACGAATGTATTTTAAAAATGCTGTTGTTATAAGTCTGACTATACTTGAACTTTCACTGGTGGATAAATGTAGTATTACTAATTAATTAATTCTGTTTGTTTCAAGTTCTTTGTAAATTGGTAACACCATGAAAGTGAGGGGTGCACTTAGATAAAATCACGTTAATAGACATGGAAGTACATTGTATTCTTGTTTTATGGAGAACAAAGTATGAAGCAATAAGTAGAGTCATATGGGGTAATTCCGGCCACTTGCACAAAGTTTCTTAGTATTTTGCGTATTCGTATTCTTAAGGCGTTTTTCATCGGGTAAGCGTGCTGTTGAATATGTGGATGGAACTAACAGCACTCTGTCCCTCGATGTAAAAATCTCCTAAAAGTCCGTTCCGTTTTCGAACAAAGTTCAAGGGGAGACAGGGACCTCTAAACCGACCGAAACTAGCCCGCATGGAGTAATTCCGGCGGCTAAGCTATTTTGCGTGGAGTAAGTCTGGCCGGTCCATTCAAATACATGGAGTTTGAAGGTTTTTTCTCTTCTACCTGTCATACAAATTTGAAGTTATTAGCGCCTATTCTAATGAAGTTAATTAAAATACAATAAGACATGGTTAGATTTCTGATTTTTCTCGATTGGGGTAATTTTGGCCTCTAAGCTATTTTTCTTCGGCTAATTCCAGCCGGTCCATTCAAATACATGGAGTTTCCTGAAACAAAGCATCTGGTACGAAAAAAGTAATGTAAAGAAAAGTAAAATTTTCGATATTTTTTCGGTTTTCCTGAATAAATTTTTTGTTATTACTCGCCGAGTCTCTTGGTATGCTAACAACGACTGGTTTCAAGTAATTAACTTAATCGAAAAACAACATAATACGACTCTTGATCTATTAATAATAAGATAAAAGTTAACAGACACAACTGACTGGAAAACGAGCTAGTATTATTCCTTCGACCAATGAAAAGGTATCACGTATTCTCATTCTCAATAGTTGATTTCACTCCACTACAACTGGTTGCTTGAATAATTCAATTTTTTCAACAGAGTTGTAGTTGAACTTCGAATATAGCGCCATAATGTATTATACATTGTAGTTGGACATATTTTTCGGAAAATAGTAGCAAGCCAAGATTTGTTTATTCAGAAAGAGACTTTTTTGCTCAATTCTACTTTACTACGATTCAAATGTTAGTATAAATTAAAAAAACCCGAATTGGAAAAAGACTTTTTAGATGAAAAATATCTGTGGGAGACCCTTACCCTAAATGTTTGTCGAAAAACGGTTTTCCTCATAAATGGTTCCTAGACATATCAGTCAATACAGTTTTTCGCGCGGAATCCGTATATATATATAAATTATTCAAGTAAAGTAACATATAAGTGTAGAAAAGTCCAAATTACCTTAAAAACAAAGAGTTTTTAGAAAACCTGTAACTATCGGCAGAAAAAGTTGTGAGATTTTATGAGTATATTACAGATACAGAATATATTGAGGAACAATCTGGTGAAAAATTAAGTAAGATTGCACCTCTGCAAACTCGTGTTTTGATTATACTGTCCATGTCTGTATTCCTAGTGTTTGCCTTATATCACCGTGTTTTATTTCCCGAATAACTCCATAAAGAAAAGTCACAATAAAACTTTTTCCGTCATTCGATAGCTCATTTAACGCTGTATATTTGATATTCCTACAATGCATTTTCCTAAAATGCAAAAAGAAAGTCTTATCTCTCAAGACAAAATTCTGTTTGTTTGATGAATCGTAGAATTTAGTTGGTAAATATTTTTGAACATGTTCAACAGCACGTCTGAGCACAGAAAACAAAGTCGACTTTCTATACGCTTAAATTAAAAATTACATGAGTTACAGTCGAGTACAGAATTCCTAGTACTCGTACTCAAACTCGCACTCGGGACTTTTTTAACGAGTATTCCGAAAAATATTCGTGTACTTCCCAAAAAACTGGTGACCTTTTTTCTTATTATTTACGTATCAAAAAATCGATTTTTTCGAAATCACCGACTTCTTTAGAGAAATTTTATACTCGAGTAGTAAGTAATCGAGTACTTTTCAGAAAATACTCGCACTCGTACTCCGAAATTCGTGTACTCGCGACGTATGTGTTGAATCCACTGTCAGACATAATCTGTACGATATAGTTTACACAAGCTATATTTAATTTTAACTGCTTCACTAACGTTCGTGGTTGTTTCAGTATCAATTTTAGAGAAGACTACAAAAAAGGTAAAACATTACATTATGCTAATGCATGTAAATGCAGCATATTCAACGACACTTAGGGAGCATGTCAAAATGTATTCCGGTCGGTCGGTCGCTATTCCTCTATTCCTCCATTCCTCTATTGCGCTATTCCTCGGTTCCGCTATTCCTCTATTCCGCTATTCCTCTATTCCGCACACAACATTTCGTTTTATAATAACTTTTATATACATGTATATAGGAACTTCGTTTTCTTTTTTAATTTAATCTGATTAGATTAGTTTGATTATTTCTTCAAAGACAGCTGCCCGCTAGGTTTCACTTACATCATTATAGGAGCAGGCATTTTTTTGTGTTTCTGTTTAAAGAATAAAATCAGAAAGGAGCAAATTTTATATTTTCATGAAATGTTCATCTTTATATACTCTATAAGAGGGAGTGCTCACTTTAAATTTATTTTGTATTGTACCAACTTTGCCAACTGAAATTTTACTGATTAGAAAAGATCCATTCCCCTTTTCTTATACTAGTTTAAAGTACACGAGCTGTACATGATACTGATCTATTTTTTAGAAAGGGACGCAATGTAGTCTTTTAGAAATATGGCTGTGAATATCGTGGGCTATCGTCTGAGCAAGCAAGTTTCGAGAGAGGCAAAAGAACTCTCTGCAAGTCGCGTAAGGAAAAACGTGCTTTTTCAAACGATAATCAACTATATTCACAACCATATTTCTCGAAAACTAAAAACGGGCCTTTTCTAAAAAACAGATCAGCATCGTGTACTACTCGTGCGCTTGAAACTAGTATAAAAAAGGGGAATGGATCTTCTTTAATTAGTGTAATTTTAGTTGGCAAAGTTGACAGAATATGAAGTGGGTTTACACTGAGCACTCTTCGTTGCATACGTAAAAGATGAACATTTAATGAAAATATAGAATTCGTTCTTAGTTGGCAAAGTTGGTACAATACAAAATAAATTTAAAGTGAGCACTCCCTCTTATAGAGTATATAAAGATGAACATTTCATGAAAATATAAAATTTGCTCCTTTCTGATTTTATTCTTTAAACAGAAACACAAAAAAATGCCTGCTCCTATAATGATGTAAGTGAAACATAGCGGGCAGCTGTCATTGAAGAAATAATCAAACTAATCTAATCAGATTAAATGAGATAATAAACTGAGTAAACCCAAAAGAGATAATAAGTTATATTCCTAAAAGAGATAATAAAACGAAAAATGTGAAATTCTTGTAATCCCAAAAGAGATAATAAATTTAATTAGTAATCAAGAACGAAAAAAGAATATAGAATTAAAAACCAAACGAAACTTATGGGTATATATTTTATTCTTCATGAAATCAAATCAATTAGAATCATTAAGTACAGTGTACGAAATCGAATGAAGTAGTGTACAAGAGCAAATAAAACAGTGTACAAACGACAATTATATAAATATGGAATCAGTAAATAGCAAAGCAGGTCATTTTCTATCAAAAAATGAATTTGGGAAAAATTATAATGTCTACTACACACCAAGGGAAATCTTGCGCTGTATTTCAAGATTTTCGTTTTCGTAAAGTTCATCAAAATAAAAATTCATCTGTTTTATTTAAATGTACAATAAACAAATGTTCAGCATACATAACAGTTGATACCAGCTTGAACGTTATTCGTACAAGTGGTGTTCATAATCATTTGGTTAAGATTGATGAAGAAACTAAAAATGTTATTCGTGGCATGAAACGTAAAATTGAAGAAGATCCTGGTCGTCCAATACCACAAGTGTATCAAGCAGAACGTGCTATTTTCGTAAGTAATCTATAAAGTCAAAGTTTTACGTTCTTTTATGTGTTGTTCGCTATCTGTGGTAGGGTCGATCTGGTGGCGTGGTGGGAAAATTACCTTGCTTAGCTAGTGTCAGATCAACATTGTATAGAACACGTTTGGAAACATTACCAGTACTTCCAAAATCAGTTGAACAATTACAAATACCAGCATCTATGGCTGTAACAATTAACCAACAACAATTTCTAATATATCATATGAATAATATAGTTGTATATGCTTCACCAACTGGTCTACAAATGCTGCAACAAAATTCACATTGGAATGCAGATGGAACTTTCAAAACAGCACCAATGTATTTTTCACAATCATATTCAATTCATGTATGGGATGTATTAACAATGAAACCAGCATTATTTTGTGCTTTACCTGGTAAAACATTTGAAATCTATAAAGAAGTATTAACAGGTTTAAATTGTCATGCAAGTAATGTTGGTATCATATTGAATCCACAAACGATTCTAATTGATTTTGAATTAGGTGCTTATAATGCATTTTCTGATGTGTATCCAAATGCAATTGTTAAGGGTTGCTATTTTCATTTTACCAAAAATATTTGGAAAAGAATAAAAAAGTTAGGTTTAGTTCGAGATTGTAAAAAAGAAGAAATTAGACGAGAAATAGCTAATATAATGTCATTGCCATTGTTACCTATGAATGAACTTAATAATTCAATGGAATTAATTATTGATACATTAAGTAATATAGATGATAAATATATAAAATTAACTGATTATGTAATAACAACATATATCTCCGGAAAATTTGATATCCAGTTTTGGAATTTATATGATACCATTGGTGTACGTCCACGTACTAATAATCATGTTGAAGGATGGCATCGGGCCCAAAATTCGTAAGTGTTTTCATTCGAATATTACGGAACGCAGGAAAATGCTAACAGCTGCTATTGTTTCTACTTTAGGAAATTATCAACACACCCGAATATATGGATGTGGGTGAAAAATATACAAAAAGAAGAGGAAGATGCACGTTATAATCGTGAACAAGAACTTTTTCAAGACTTACCTTCAAAAAAATAGCAAAATCTAGTATAATTCATGAAGAACAGCTTATTGCAGCTAAACAACGATATGAAATAACAAAAGATATTGAAAGTTATAAACGTTCAACACGAAGAAAAGCTTACTGTTCTTTACATGAACATGAAAAATTAAACAACGATACTGATTCTGATTGATTTGCTTTCATGAAGAATAAAATATATACCCATAAGTTTCGTTTGTTTTTTCATTCTATATTCTTTTTTCGTTCTTGATTACTAATTAAATTTATTATCTCTTTTGGGATTACAAGAATTTCACATTTTTCGTCTTATTATCTCTTTTAGGAATATAACTTATTATCTCTTTTGGGTTTACTCAGTTTATTATCTCTTTTGGCCTCTAGCCAACTAATCTAATCAGATTAAATTAAAAAAGAAAACGAAGTTCCTATATACATGTATATAAAAGTTATTATAAAACGAAATGTTGTGTGCGGAATAGAGGAATAGCGGAACAGAGGAATAGCGCAATAGAGGAATGGAGGAATAGAGGAATAGCGACCGACCGACCGGAATACATTTTGACATGCTCCCTTACTGAAAGCAAATACGACTCTTTTCAACAAGGTGCCAAATACTTCTATTCAAATTCAATATGTTATCGAAAATAAAAGATAAAAGTAGTAGTAAATTTTTGTACACTCTTGAACATATTCCCCTGGAAAACAAAATCTTTTTCGACATTATAAATGATATAATAGTGCAGACATATAATAGTGCGTAATGGAAAAATTTACAAACGAACACCCTATGGTCAAATAAACATACATATAAAGTCATTGTTACATTTACAATCATTCTCAAAGTATGAACCATTAAGCACCTAATAT